CATGTTTTATAAATACAGTGCGTATACATTACCAAATTATAAAGGCCTTACAACAACAATCCACAAGCATATTACAGTTTAAGCATGTATTATTGGATATATGAATGAATTATAAGTATATGAAGTTAAAACAATTTATCGAATTAGGAGGCATCGATCAAAGATTTTTGGAATTTCGAAATTGGGGGAATTCGAGAACATAACGTATAAACCACTAGAAAGTAGTTATAAGAAATTAAAAAAAATTAATTTTCTTCATTATAATTTAAAATTTTTTTTTAATAACCCCCATAAACTAGATCTTTTATTATAAAACTATTCTGACTATACATTTATGTTATGTAAAATTGACTGTAGTAAGGATATGCATAAGTATTCTTCTGATGAAATTTAAAATTTTTTAAAAGCACTTTGATTACTTGTGTTAAGAAGAGCATAAATAATGGCATAACGACAGTTCTATCAGCATATATATTACATATTTTCATTAGTAGTTCAATTTACTATTATGTTATTATATCTATTACATCCTTTATTTGATATATAAAACTTAAATAGACTTTTTAGATTAAATGAGCCATCGTTGTATAGTAGTTTTATCAATTATTTGCATATAATACTGATTTTATATATATTTAATTTTTACAAAATTTTTGTCCCTTTTCCCCCAATACTATATAACTAAATTTGATTTATTTATAACTTATAAGAAAATAAAGAAAAAGGAAATAATTTGATAATCATGTAACTGAAACAGTTGAATACATTAAAATTCTTATTGATTTGACTAAAATAAGAAAATTTTCTTTACAGAACAACATAACAATTTGATTATCATATTTAATGTATACATACAAAGAAACCATGATTATTTAAAAAAATATGATGTTTTATAGAGATGAAAAATATGTATATGATAAATAGATACTTATATATAATATAAGAGAAATTTTTATATAGTTATATTTCGAAAATTTATTGTTAAATATTCTATATAAGAGAAGTACCATGAATTATCTTATTTTAGAAGGGGGATTAGGAATAACTATATATATAACATTGTAGTTATGTAGAATAATATATGGAGGCCTTTATCTATTATTCATTAAGAAAATTATATAGCATTAACAAAGGAATAAAAGACTACTTATAATTTATAATAAGAAAACATAAGCGTATTACATTGAGTATAAGAATAAAATATTTGCACAAAAGGCAAAAAAATATAGTATAAATAAATCAAGGTTATTTTATTGAATAAATATCTATGTTATAGCATTATTAGGATAAATAATACCATAACAATTGATTCTACAAATTATATGAATTTATATATGAAATATATATTTTTTTATGTTATTTTTTTAAATTAAATTGCATATATGCCTTGAGTATTGTAATTAAAAAGGAGATTTATATATATAGTACACAAAACTTAACGGGACATTTGAATAATATTTTATTAAAATAAATCGTTGTGTGATCATCCATTTTTGATACGAATGTATATATATAATAAAATTAAAAAAACAGTATTTTTTACAGTAATAATCGAAAATTTAAAACTTTTATAGTTACTTATTATATTAATTCCAATTAAAAGATACAGTGATATGAAAATGACCAAGTAATTATTGATACAACTTATTGGAAAAGTTATAATTATAAAAAAATATACTTTCAAATTAATAACAATGGCATTATACATTTGGTAATTCTTGCATAATATACAATATAAAATGTTATGAAAATGGATATAACCCTTATTGTTCACTTTAGTATCCCAAGTTACGAGACTAAGCAGAACAAATAATGTTATAATAGAATGGTTATATAAATTAATTAGGAAACTATGAAAAATTAAATTTTATTTACATCACAAGAAAGTGCTAATTTAGCATGGCTAACTATTTATAATAGTTACTCACAAAATGATTGTAAGCAAGGCTTAAATATATACTATGCTGTTGCTCCACCTCATAGAAATTCATCGTACCAAGTATTATTTTATACGATTACATAACAGAATGATGATCAAATATTTAAAATATAAGTATTTTTCATAACTTCAAGCTATAACATAAAAATTACTTCTGTATATATACATGTAATAGTATCCATAAATAAAGTATAAGAACTCTGTAAAACCTTGGTAAATTCTTTATAGGCAATAAAAAGACATTTTGTTGTTTATTATTAGAACTGAAAATATATAAAAGTACCGGTTAACGCCTATTTTATATTACCTATTAACATGAAAGGAATTTACAATATATCTCTTAGCAAAAATATTAAGTCAAATAAAAAAATGAATTTAATCTTAATTAAAATTACTTCTAAAATTATATAAGAAAGTTATGCTTCATTAATTTTAATAAAGTAAACAATTATATAAAGACATGTGAATTCTAAATTATAAAAATAACTATGAACAATAATAATATAGCATAAAATCTAACAATATATAGCGTATCGAAACATTTGAAACGTATGTAAAATAAAATTTGATAGAATGTATTATGAACATAACAATTATATATATCATTACATTATACCTTATCACAAGAATATAGGTTTAAATATTCACCATGTAAGGGAATATTCATTTTTTTTATTTATTTATACATAAATAATGTTTTCATAGTAATTATGTTGAATTTTTAATATAATTATTTGTTTACAATAATACATAAATTGTTTTTATATAATATCGTTAATTTTTGTTAGTATATAATATTTATTTTCGTTAGATTAATTTCAACTGGTAAGTAGATAGGAACTTTATGTTCATCCATTCATTATTTGGATAAATAATTTATTACAATGAACGTAAATTAACATAAAATAATATTAAATCTTATGGTTATAAATAAAACTATGTTTAATTTGTTTATATAACACAATGACTTCTTATCTTCCATCAGAAAAAATGAATAAATTTACAATAAATATAAATATACAGTTATTTTCAATAATATAAGATATAATTTTAATCTCTATACAACTCAAATATTTAGAACTGCATAATTATATTATAATAAAAAGTATAATGTAGCATGATTGAATAATAAAGAAATGCTTTACTATAACTATGAATGATTTTCTTTTCTTTTCATTTATGTATATATGTATCATTTGTTAGAATGATTAGATACATATATATATTTGTATTTTTTTGTTCAAATGAAAGTTTTTTTAGAACCAATTTTGAAAATAAAAAAATTTATACTCCGTAAATTTATACACATATTTAGAATTTTAATTTAAATTATTTATTATTAATCAATAGAAGAATTCTTACATGTATGTGCATATATTTATTCATCCAAAAAACTTAATTCAGTTTATATGAAAATTCATTTTTTTTATGAATATAGTTATTGTGCAATTTATCATATTATCAAATTCACAAAAGTAAAAATTAAAATAATATGTGAGTAAAATACTTTTATCATGTACGTTTATAATGAAAACTATAGTTCAGAATCTCATGTACATTTTGAATATATGCTTTTTTTTGGAAAATAGGATATCTTATTTATTTAATGAAAAAATATATATTATGAACAAATAGTGATTCCCAATATATATATAATTTAATAATTAAAATGTATTCTAAATAAATATTTAAGTCAAATTATTGCTTTCTTACATTTTAAAAAATTTAATAAAAAAAATAAATTATTCAATCACAATGGAATATTTTAATAAAAACGACATAATATATTTATAGTAAATTGTGTGATTTTGCTTTTAATATATTTATTTTTTATATAGGATTAATTTTGCCATTTTGGAATATAATAAAAAAATTGAAATAAATAAAAATCAAGTGCTACGAAATATATATATTTTATAAGAAGAAATTATATCAAAATGTTTCTGTGAATTTACCATATTTTATGTTATGGATTTTGCATTGCAATTGCCCATGTTTTTATTGATATTCTTACTTTTTCATTTTATGCATGCGAATGAGTAATTTTTATCATAAAAATGCATAAAATAAAAGGATAATATATAAGGATATAAAAAAATTAAAAAAAAATATAATTTTCATAATAATGTATTGGAAATATAGGTGTAATTATCGTATTATAATATTATTTCCTTTTTATATTATAAATTTAATTAACGTCATATATTATTGACAAAATACATAGTAATACATTCGAAATAGTACGCGATGATATGTGTAATATTTATATTTTATTATATATTTTTCTTTTATTTATAGTATTATTATTTTATCAATTATCCGATAATATACATTTAAAATGAGGTAAATACATACACACTATATAGTTGAGTAAATACGCAAAGATATTAAAAATATTAATTTTCCTTATATGATATAGTCACATATATTGTTGTTTAATGTTAAAATATTTAGAACCTTGTGTCATTAATTTATTGTAATCGTATGAATTTTAGTAGATATTTCAATAAAGAAAACATCACTTTTAATATAACAAAACAAAAATACATATACCTATAAAATGAACATTAAACATTATACATGAATACCTAATAATAAATACGCAAGTCTTATTATGATGTTCATATTTACATATTTTGAATAATTTTATGATATAATTATATACTGGAAATATTATTTATTATATTATTATTTATTTTATGTGTGTCTAAGAAATTAAGAATGCTATTATTACAGTTTTACATATACAACTTTAATACATAAGTTATGTGTGTTATATATTATTTCGTATTTCTAAAATTGTATATATATTTTTTATATTATATATACATATATACGTATTATATGATCTTCTTAATTTAGTATCATATTACAACTATGCTTTAATAAATGTGATGAATTTTAATAAATATGTATATAGAAATTGTCTATAGAAAATATTGAATAAAAAAATTAATAAACATTGTATGAACGTATTATTTATTGTTATACATTTAAATGGTGCATATTTATAATAATAAGAAATTAAAAAAATTTTCCTTTTATTTCTTTCATATATAAAATGACGATTCCTACACATGATGATATTTTAAAGGTATATTTATGCATGTTTATAATTATATAATATATATTAATGAATCTAAAATATCGTTATTTCAGTTATATAAGGGGGAAAAAATTATATAAATTACTATAAAAATTATTTTTATACATTATGACTTCAATTATTAGGTTGATTTTGATGATGTATATATGAGATCTAATGAAAATTATAATTCGATTATAAGTAGAAACTGGAATGAATATAAACACCATAATTTTACTGATTTGTGTAGTTATGCTAAATATGATATATGTAGAAACTCTAAAGGCGTTTCATTTACTGCTGATTGCCGAAAACTTGTTATTCTTTTAGATAATATGAGTCACATTTTAAATGGAAACCACCATAATAAAATATACTTTTGCATATACTTAAACTACAAATTACATGAATTGGTAAAAAATTATAATTGTATAGTAAGAAACCCCATAGATGTATACAGATACATGACTGAAGCAAGGAGAACTTGGTTTAGCAGAACTATACCTAAAACTTGCGTTGGTTACCTTGTAGATCTTGGTGATGAGACGTTTTTAAATTTCAGAAAACTTGATCAATTATATGACAATTTTTATAAATTTAAATACAACAAACATAGTTGTAGTTATGCTGAATATTGTTCTAGAGAATATAAGAATCTCTTAAGAACAAGTTCAAATGAGCAGAATATGGATTTTCACGATTTATTATATGAATTTATATATCATTTTGAAAAATATATGATAGGAGTAGAAAGTTGTAAAGACTTCTCCCAATGGGGGCAACCACAATCAAAAACAAATAGGAGTGCTGAGGGAAGCACAAACACATCGGCAATGAAAGTAACAAGAGAAATGGGAGGAATAAAAGAAATAGAAAGAGTAATTGAAATGGATGGTACAGGAAAAAACATACTAAAAATAATAAGTGAAAGGAAAAAAACACTAGACAAAGCGAGGCTCAGCCCACATACAGGCACAGAAACAACAGTAAGCTCTGGTATGGCTGTTCTATTTTTTTCAGTGTTAATAATTGTATTCATTATGTATAAGGTTATATAACATTTTTTTTTATTAAATATATATTATTTTAAAATTTTTAGAATTCATTATGAAATATTAACATCAAATAAATGATACACTCATAAAATATCATATTGTTCCTTTATTATCAGTATACCGCTTTTGGTTCATATTTTAATCCAAGGATGAGAAAATTAAAAAGGAAGATGAAAAAAAAGGATAAAAAAAACATGAATATCATGGGTTCACATGAATGGATATACAACAATGAAAATGGCAATAAGTATCAAATACAGTATAGTTATATGGATAATTCGTCTTAAAAGTGTAATAACAATTAATAAATTTAAATTATTTTTTTATAAGTAATATAATTATATTAATGAACCGCATTTTTAAACGTAAAAGCAATTTTTCTCACCATGAATATATCAACACAATAATAAAATTAAAAATAAAATTATTAATATCTTTAGGTTTAGGGTTTAGGATTTCAGATTTTTAGGGACTTTTATTTATAATTCATTATTTTCACTTTTTTTTTGACATATTTATCAGGTTACATGAAGGAACTTTGAATAATTACATTAATTTTATATATTTATTGCAGGATTATTTTTTAAATGATGTATTGTAATTTGTCATATATACGTTTATAACAGTGAACGCAATTTTTTTATATTATTTTAGGATGTATAAAATTTATTGTTAGTATGAGATATGTTGCACATTAATAATATATATATATATTAAGTCAGTACTGCATCTGGAATTATTGAATATTTGTAAATTTCGTATGTGCACTAAATAATTTTATTTTTTTTTTTATTTTTTGCCCCAATATTACTAATGAGTAATAAAATAACAATATAAGATTTATAATACTTTTATATAAGCATATAATGTAAATTTTTCTATTACTATTTTATATATAAAAGAATACTTTTTTTTAAGAATTCTATGAATTAATTTTATATATATGCAAGATGTGAAATCTATTTATTAAATTATTATTATTATACATATTTCGAGCTTTTAATATATATATATAATATATGCTTGAAAATACATACTGTTGTTTGTTGTTATGATATAATGAATATTACATTATTTATATTAATTGTTTAAGATAGGAAATTAATTTAAATGCTAAATATTATAAATAAATTAAGAATTTAATAAATATTCTAAAGGGTAAGTTGTAATTTTCTTAATAAATAAGCACATATATAGGATATGAACAATTTTTATTAACAATAAGATAAATTTATAATCATTTATAAAATATAATTAACACTACATATGAATAAATATACTTGATGTAATAAAGATAAAATTTATGTTACTTTTTATAAATATATATAACATTCCATAAGGTGAAGGAAAATAGACTAAGCTTTGCACAAAAAAATAGATATAACAATAAATATAATTTTTATTTTTGCAAGGAAACATTGTTTTATAGGGTGTTATAAAATGACATAATTTACTATTGGTGGTATTTAGTTATTACATCATGTAATGTAAATATCGCATTATTTTTTGTGCGCTCAAGATGGAAAATATTATATAATGGGGAAAGTTAAGAATAATGTTAATTTTCAAAAATATTAAAAACCTATTACTTTCATAGAGAATTAATTTATTTATTATAATAATTATTCTTTTTACTATATGTACCAAAATTTTCAAATCTGACTTAATTTTATGTTCTTTTCTATCTTATTATATATATGAGTACGCTTTCAACGTCCTGGAGAACTCATATATTTTATGTTTATCTAATACATTTTAAAAATTTTGAACATAATTGTTCGTTAAGAAGAGATGATTTTTCTTCTTATTATTTATTTTTATGTAAAAAAAAAATAAGGACATTTATATCCTAAATAATATTTTTCTCTTTCATAATATAGATTATATGCCACAATACATAGCGAAATAATATATGATTACCTTCTTTTCTATGATTTGAAGAATAGTTTTGCTTTCCGAGTATATTTATTAACAGCATATTCATGGAAGTATACACTGATATATGTGAATTATGTAAAATATTCTTAATAATTTATGCATTATTTAAGGCCTAATTATGAATACATCTAGCACAGGATATAGAAAATATCATTTACTTTATATGAAAGCCTAAAATGCATAAATATTGAAATAGTTATGAAAAACATTTCCTCAAACTTTGTTGTACGTTTATAGTTGTGACGCTTTATTTCTGAATACTTATAAGGAAACAAATCCTTTTTTTGTAATTCGAATATATATACCAATTTTTTAATAAAACTTTATGTTATAAGATTTAATCTTTTCACCTATAATTGCATCTTCTCGTGGTGAAGGTTTCTTTTTACAGCATGTTGTTCAGCTTGAACTGATATGCGATGTGCAATACTATAAAACACAATTCATGGGTGATGTTCCTTACGTTAACTATAAATTTTGAGATATTTTCTTTCATATGATAATGTACATTATATTTTAAAACATTCGTATAATTCTACATTGCTTTGAATATGCCTATTATATTTCTTGCATTCAGAAACTTATCTACTAGAGGCATTTATATAGCAATAAAAAACTCCATAGTAAAGATATAATTCTTTAGTTTTTACATTTAAATTTGAGAAATCAGATAATATTTGGTATTATATTTATTGTAATAATGCTCCTTTTTGTCTTAATCATTAAAAGTACTATATTACATATGAAACACACCAAAATCATGGTTAGTATTAGTAGTATAAATAAAACCATAAATTATATTTAATCTTTTATATATACAAGAACTCAAAAGTATACATTTAATTACTTCAGAACTGTTTTTACCTAAGTTCTTACTTTTAGATTTTAGATACTTTAGTTTTTTGATTAAAGTGTTTTAAAACTACTTTTCATAAACTTAGGTAATTTAATTAACTGTATTATGTTTTAAATTATTATAATCTATTATAATCCTATTTGAAAGTAAAATATAAAATTTCAGGCCTCAATTATTTTTGAACTAGGAAAAAACAAATATAATTAAAAAGAGAAACATACGAATTGTAAAATAATTATATTATAGAAATTTTTTTATTAATAATAAAAAAAAAATTAAGAATTAAAATAAATAAAATAAGTATACATGTTCAATGTAAATGAGTTAGACTGTCTAGATTCAATTATTCCAAAAATTTCCTCGTTGCATTATCAAAAACCACAAATTTAGAAAATATTTTTAAATATAACAAGTTTATAAATATATTCTCCATATAAAAAGAAATATAATTTCATATAACGACTATGTAAAATTATATTGTTGTTATAGAACACACATTTTAATTTTAGTGCAATTTTAAGAGATAATGTATATTAAAAATAAATAATTTAAACATGAAAATTGAATTCAGAATTTGACGTAAATATAGAAATGTGCTAAAAAATAATCATATTCCAAATATATTCTAACGCGAGTTCAAAATACTAGATATTCTGTTTTATTCTGAATATGTATAATTAAAATTTTTGGGATAAAAAAAATATAATGTTAACTTAATTAAAAATATTAATACTATGATTTTAAAATTTAAATTATTAAAAGTTATCAAGTTAAAATATATCACATTTTAGTTAAAAAAACAACCTATTTATTTAATTACTCATTTTAAATTATTATAAATACCTATATTTAATATATCAATTAATATATATTTTTCTTATGGAACATTTAAAATTTCTTATATAATAGTTCCTAATAAAATTTATAATATATAAGCGTATTAATAGATATATTTCATTAGAACTATAAATTTTATACATATTGATTAATTTTTATTTTATTATATATGAAATTTATGTAATATTTTTGTGGGATTTTTGAAAAATAAGGATGATTCTCTACATTATTAGATGTATAGTATGATTAAAAATATAATTTATTATAATAATTATAATGTTCTATAATTTTTAGAAAAAATGAATTTATAATAATTGGAGAATTAGTTTGTTTTTGAATTAGCAAATATTAAAGTGTAGATTTTCTGATTTTTTTTTTATTTTATAGGATAAATCTAATTATACTGCATTTTTATATCGTAGCAACTGATTTTTTTGCACACATACATTTAATATTTATTTTTTAAGATTGAATGAAGCTTAATCAGGTATAATCATTGCATTTTTCATATAAAAAGTGCATAACACATGCTGATTTTTTTTTTTTTTTTAAATATCCTATTTATACTTAAGCGTGTAATGTGATCCTAAATGAACCATTTATTAAAATTAATTATAACATTATGGTAGAATTATTAATTGTATACTTAGTATATAATTTTTTTAATAAATATGAGCTTAAATATTCATGTCAAATAAATACATGTATCTTAGTAAATATACAAAATTAAATTTTTACTTAGGTTTACTATTATTACTTGTTCATAATATATTTTTATTATTATATAATCAAGTTATTAGCATTTAAAAAACAAACAAACTATGTAGTGTACATCTTGGAAAATTACTAAATATTAATTAGTCTTTATAATTTAATATGTATATACTTACATTTTAAGCAAGTATCTATATGTATTATTGCTACTATTTGTTTTTTAAAGTCATATTCAAAATAAAGTACATTTAATATTATAATAATATATACTAATTATAAAATTACTCACTAAGCTACCCACATAATATAACAATAACATAAACGATAAAACTTGACAATAAAGTCTATGGAATAAAACATGAACAAAAACATCTTAAACCAAAGCTTTAATTCTAAAATAATAAGCATTAAAAACTGAGTACTACACACTGAATCCTATATAATCCAACGTAAAACAAGAATGTTTAACACTAAACCTTGAGTACAAAACGACAAAACCTAATACCTGAATACTATAGATATGAAACATTAATTCAAAACACTGAAACATAAAGAAAAAACAATAAAAAAATAGTGATGAATTAAATATTTTATAAAATTAAACTCAAAGCGAAAATACTATACACTAAATATTATATACTAAAGGACAATGATAAACACTGAAATATATAAAGAAAAAAAATATTTAACTATATAAAAATATAAGAACATCCATAATATATATTATATAATGCAGAATATGTTAAAAAAAAAAAAATAAATTGAAATAATAATTACAATTCAAGATATAAGAAAGAAAAATCATAAATAAAAAATACTTTTTTGAAATTAATGGAATAAATGTAGAATTGTAAACAATTTATGACACCATTTCAGATATATATAAGAAATACGTGTAGATATTAAAGAGAGGAAAAAACATTTCATGAAATTTAGGATATA